GTGAGATATTGAATGAGTGTATTTCGTATAATGAGATTGTGTGGAACAGGGACACAGACATAATATGAATTTCTAATAATTTCGGTTAAGCATAGAAATTCTAATTAAGTCTACCGATGGTCATATATAGAATGATCTTAATCCTGAGTTCTTAACAAACTCCTATTTATGAATTTGTGTTTTTTTATTTACTCAGTACGGATTCCGAGACCCTGAATCCTATTTCTTATATTTTGGAGACATGATGAAGTAGGTAGCCGGGAATGTTATTATACGAGATGGAATCCATTCCTTCTTGAGAAAGAAGTAGATAAATAATTCTCTTGAGTGTTGATTCGGTACTTGGATTAGTAAGAGCGCTTTGGTTCATGAATGTGTTTTATGAATCACTATCCATTAAAGAATCAATGGTACTCAAGGATGAAGATATAATTAGAGAGGTTAACGGATTCTACGTGGCTCTAATTATGAATTATTTATGGAAGATTGATCTATATCCAATGACTATATCAAATGGACACTTCACAGTTTAGAAGTAATTAATGTCTATAATTTCGAGAGTTCAATTCCAAGTTTATAGTGGAGTAACTATTGGAATTAATAGAAGTAATTAATTAATTAAAGTGTTTTAATTAATTATTAATTTTATTGGAGCTCAGGATTATAGGTCTATTAGTCCCCGCGTCGTCATAGTAATTCTATAAATAAGATATGATAAAAATTGCGCGTGACAGTTTTAACCTACTTAAAGGGGGCTGGCCGAAATTCCCAATAATAGAGAGAAGGAAAAAAAATTTCTCCCAAAAAAATTTCACATCGTGCATGCGTTGGTGTTTGTGAAAAATTTGAGTGTTTGATCTAACCCGTTTTAGTCTCGAGTACGCCCACACACACGTCTACATAGATTCAAGGAATTGACATGGAATACTTTAGTTTTCTAAACACAAGGCTTTGGAGCAAGGATCGTTCATGGTCAAAGAACTCAAGTTATCATCCGAGTCGGCCTCCAGGTATTTTTCCTAATTAAGTTCTTGATATATAAATTAATATGATTAATTTATTCGTGCATAAATTAATA